GTTTGAAATGCTTGTAAGTCCTTTACCTTTGCTACCGTATCTGATTCTTATGTTACTAGGTCGAGCTCCACGCCCTCGTTCCGGTCGTTAGCCGCATGGTGGCCACCCCCCCCTCATTCAGGTGTTCCTGGTATCTGCCCCCATCTTGCCCTTTAGTGCGGATTTTGTTCCACCCCCTTTGGCTGAGGTCCCACCCGGCTTCAAAGATCCGACGAGTGTGGGCACGGGGAGGTGGTGGGAGATGGTCGATGACACCATCTGGTGGAATAAGCCATATGCGCCATCGGATGACAATGACAGCGCCACCGCTCATCGTTCTGCCAGATCCACCCCTCCCCCGGCACCGCTGGTTCCCTCCATCAGCCCCAGCACCTACTTCAGCAGCCACCATCCAGTCTCGCCATCCGGTCCCCCTAGCCAGACGGCGGAAGCGACTGCCGAGGCGCCCAATGTTCCGGACACTGCACCTGCAGTCACTGTCAGATATGCCCGTAACCTCGGACTGAGGTGCAAGGATACAATCCCACCATCCACATGGTACAGCCTGGATCCGGCGGCGGTGCCGGATTATGTCAAGCACTGGACATGCTGCCAGTCTTGTTCCAAAAAGAACACGCAGTGCATTGGTCGGTCGGATGCAGGGTGCTTCATCTGCCACTTTATCACCAAGGATCCGTGCCCATTCGCGAAGACAAAGCCCAGACCTCAGAGTGTGAAGAGGATGAACATGAGGGCCGAGTTTGATTACATCCGGACAACTGACCGTGTACGCCAGATAGAGGCCAAACACTATGACAGAGCCGTACGCAACATAGACGCGCTCAAAGCGCAGTGGAGTAGTGAGCGGTCATCCGGTTCCGGCTCGCAACGCACAGGTGAGCTTGACTTCAATTCGAGGACATCCCTCTAATAATTTTGTAGTCCGAGCCAAAAGGGTGATGGCCTCGTCATCGGCAACTGCCGCTCAGCCATTGTCGGATCGGGTGGAATCAGTCAACGCATCCATTGACGCACTCCGAGCAACCATCGCGGAGATCAACCGGAGGTTGGACGAGATGGAGCGAAGGCTTGATGCCGGTGTCACAGTCGAGCATTTGAGGGGACTTGTCAGTCCGGTTGGAATTGAAGTGCTGGACGTGCGTACAGCGTAGTTGAACCAATATGATCTTTGTTACGTACCTTCAAAAGCATGTTTTACATAGATTTCAACGAGTGCTTGATTCTTCATATGGCTACAATTGAAGTAAGTACCAGGTAGCCAATCCGGCATATGTAGTGCAATTTGCATCAGACGACTGATCCGGCAACTTACATCCGGCTAGTATGAATGCATAAATATTATTCTGTCAGACAGAATCTGTCCATACACTGCATGATAGTCTTATTCATTACAGCAGCACATGTACAAGTTGAACAAGCTGTGCCCTTAGGCCGGATCTATGTAAGAGGGCAGAACTTAATGAACGTACAACTCAACCAATATCTGTGCCTTGACCCTGTGGGACTTAAAGACACAAAACTCAGTAGTTTCAACTCGTTATGTATTGTATAACTTCGGACAGAGTCCACATCCATATTACAAGCTGAATACAACTTTTACTTGGTGTTGTTTCTGAGCAATCCCAGATCCGGACACAAATCCGGACCCGGATTGCTTACCGGTATTGGTGAGCTGAAGTGACAAATTTAAAAGCCTCGCCTCCTGAGATGGAGGAGAGTGATATCGAGAGCAACTTGCATCCTTGCTGTGGCAAGTTCCATTTGGTCAAGGCTTTCATCAATGTCAACTGAGTTGATGTTCAGTGGTGCGGCATCGGATTGAACATAAACACTCACTGTCACTGTCCGACCCTATCACATCGCCAGCAGAAGAGATATCGGAGCTCGGAACATATTCATCATCCGGGTTGGCGAGCAACCTGTCAACCGGACGAGGTGAGTCGGTGATCTGTATGACTGACTCAGTTTCTGACGCGCTGGAAGACAGAACGATGGTCCCATGCTATGCAAAGTGTAAGTCACTGTAAGAATATATGTGAAACTGTGAAACCTACATGATTTGTCACATATTTGTTATTGTTGTCCGATCCGATCCAAACTCCTTCTCCCTCACCGGACCACTCTCCTGCCTCCAACTCCAAGTCTTCTGATGATCCGGCTTCTTCAGCTTCTAAATCTAACAGATCCTCATTGTTACGGGATGAACCTGCAACTGGCTCCCTCCGAGGCCTCTTATGAGTACGTCCGGTGCCTAAGATGCCCCCAGCCCGTTTGCGCCTTACAATCCTCTGTCGTTTCTTTGCACTATGGGTGGCGGGATGAGCAGAGCCCATCATACGTCCGGACGTCGGACGGTGGGTGGCTTTCTTGCCTTTCTGAACATTGGCACTAACACTGACATCTTCCTCATTGCTGGAGTCGACTTCAATGTAGTCCCTCCCACGGCGAGGTAGCAGCATCCGGATCGCACTCGGGGGTGGGCTACCTCGCTTCGGTTTGAGATTTGACCACCAACTATTCTCCCCAACGTAGTCGCCCCGGATATAGTTCTCGGAAAGCCATTTCCGGCATGGTTTTTCCGACTCCAGAATCCATTTATGGTGGTTGACGGGAAGTTTTGCAAAGTATATGAGGCACAAGATCGGAGGGACCTCGTACTGGATGCCAAGGAAGTTGAAGCACCGAATAATACCTGTTAGAGTATCCTGCGCCAGATCAGTCGGATAAAAGTTCGGTTACAGTTGAGGACTCACGACGTCTTTGAACCACGGCAACTCGAAGTCATCGCGTGATGGTCCGACTGCTGCTTTCGTGTTGTGAGCCATATGAAACCAGAGAGCGACCAGTCTGATAATGCGGGATACTCCCCAGCCGGTAGAACGGAATGTACGATATGGCTCGGCGATCCAGTTTGGACCTGTCAGAATCAAGTCTTCGCCGTTGGACGTTGACCTCTGGGCTCCAATGTCGGACGATGGCCAAGCATCCGGCACTATGAACGATGGCACAAACTGGAGGGGGGCGGGTAAGGCTTCAGATGCTAAAACGTCTTCAGGCATCTTCATGTGTACGGTGTGGAGGGGCAAGGAAAGTGCCCCAAAAATTGCATGGTATATGTACGAAAAAAAAATTGGGCCACACGGCCGTCCGCTGGCACCGGTCGGAGCATGCTGAATTGCCACTTTTGGTAAGACACAAGGTTTTCATTTGGGGTTTCAAGCACAGGTCGCCTGATCCCCATCCTTCCCTCCTGCCACCACCTCTCTCGAAAAATGTCATCTGGTGGTGAACGTAAGTCCCACATTCTCTACTCTATGTGCTCTCGACTGACAAGTATACAGAATTTGGTAACAAAATACCACCGCGTCGTCCTTGGACCATGCCAGCGGAACAGCAGCAGCAGCAGAAGCAGAAGCAGAAGAAGGTGAAGGACACAAACAAGCAGCAGGGGGCGCCTACAGATTGTACGCAAACATCTTTGTCTATCACAATATATTAATGTTAGTGCACAGCGGCTTGTGCCCAGGCCGCCATCAAGGCGCTCTCACTCTTTCAGGCAGCCAACTCCAAGGCGGCACAGGGTCCTGCGCCCTCAACACCATCGAATGCAGAACCTCAGGCGCCGTCCGGACCATCCGGTGGTCAAGAGCAATCCGGCGCTCAGTTCGGCACCTCAGCTGTCCCTCCCACTCCATTGGTGAGCCTTTCTGTCCATCTTTTAATAAATGTATTCCCTCACCCATAATGATGTCAAACCTGTCCGAATGCAATATAGGCACCATCTGATGATCCACAGGCTGCGGCGGATCATCCGGACCCTGAGGCAGACGGTGACCTCTCTTCTTGTTCTGTTCATCCGGCCATGCAAGAGCCTTCCCCCAACCATCCTGCCCCAACTTGTCATTTTTGGCATTGGACCAGCCTGACACACCCATGGCGGAGCCGGACGACACCACGGCTGGGCAGGCCAAGCGCCGGATGTCGGCCCCATCCCCAGCAAAGCATGACCCCAAGCGTCCAGCTATTGGCGATGAGGCTTCAGGCCGCCCTCGCGCTCCGGTTCGGTCTGGGTCCATCTCAACCGTCCATCCGGTTGCCCCTCTGCCTTGTGCCATTCACAAAGGAGGGGGCATCCCGATCATCCCTGCATCCCGTTGCTTCTCCGAGCAGGTAAAGTACATGCTCGAGTTTGTCAACCCGGAGGCTCTGACTGCGCTGTTTGACTCTGCGGAGCAAACCTTCGAAGACGTCCGGGGCATGGAGACCCTCCGGCGGGCTGTCCGTGACACAGTTGACCAAAGGGAGGTTCAACACAGAGCGGCTACCGGTGAACCGGCATCCCGCCCGGATGAGCAGGTGACCTTCCAGTTCGGTCTTACTGGTCCGGCGTCCAGGCTGCCGAGGCAGGTTTATTACGAATTTTAAATGTACTTTGTTAGCATGATCATCGTCGAATAAGCATCTTTGTCTTGCTATATGATCCTCTAAGTCTGCTTGAGTGTTCTGTTCCAAATTCATGTCGGATGTTAACTTCAACTTGTATAGTAGTGTTGTATACTTCGTGTGCCGGATGGGTTTGGCTGACATTGACTTCTTGTTACAAAGTGTTTACACTTAGGCTAGCATGTTTGCTATACATGATGATGGTGAGTACGTCATTCAAGAAGACCTCACAAAAGCAGCCAGCAAGATTAGTGATGCAAAGAAGCACGAAAGTAAGTAGCTTAGATTATATTGAATAATTGTTTAGGGCTCATGAGCTCCTCCTTCAGTCAAGCTAGAGTACTCGGTATAATCCATGGACATATCAACCAGTTGTGCATTATCCTGTACATTTATTCCATTAGTAATATCAGCGCTCTTTCACATCCACAGCTGAGATTTGTTGGGACACAAAAATCGCGATGTAAGCCGCTGACCTTGAGTCCGATGCATAAAAATGTGGTATTTGCCTAAGAAACGATAGGAATGAGTCCTTGAAAGATGACTACAAGCAACATCGCTTGTTGTGATTGGGAATCAAGAGGCAATATGTATGTGTATCAAAGCGGCCGGATACAAAATTAATGATGCATTCATTGGCTAAGTATCCGTCCGGTCCTTTATGCAAGCACACCGGATGGTGCGTCCGGCAGGGTGCTGAAGATCCCATCCGCCATGGCTTTCAAGTTCATCCACCTTGCGTGCTGACTATGAGCAAACACTGAATATCACCCTTCTCCCTCGTTGGCACGATGTTTCCACTGTGTGGCTTTGTGCATGAATGATTTGGGCACTCGTTTCATCTCCTCGTGGAGAAGAATAAGTTCTTCCTCCCAGCGATCCCTCCGGCATTTGGCACGCATCCATTGAATCCGGTCAACTGCATGTGGCTTCAGTCTCTGCCTCTCCATAATCCGGACAACGTACATGTGTCCATGAATTTTGATTTGTCACTCCTCTCTGCCTCCTCAACTTCAACTCGCCATATCCAAGGTAGATGTTTGTTTTTGGTGCCCCGGACGCTTGCATGGATTGCGGCTGATCTTGCCTCCAAGTCTTTCTCTTCTAGTGGTTGGTACTTGGGATCAAGTCCACCAAGGTGGTCAGCTGCCTTCCGAGCCAATCTATAGATATCAGCACACAGGCGAAGATCAGCCACTGCCCGAGCCAGTTTGTCCTGAGCTCGAGTACACTTTTTGACGCTTCCGGATGCCCCTCGGATGTCTTCCCTGTAAACCATTGATTTTCTTCCTACCCCCAATTTGACCTCGACAAGTGCGTCATTCATTTGACCATTCCGAAGTCGTGCTTCTTGCTGAACAAGGGCCGTCAACCCACGCTCTTCACAAAGAACCCTGCCAAAGTAAGAGGGCAGAGGTAGCACCTGGTCTTCCGGCCCTCCACCAGCTTTTGTATCCGGCACTTCATACGCCAGCTCACCCATAATCCGAGGGGCATCCTCAAGCCAGAAGCGGACCCGACAATCCAGTGTCCGGCGCACCTCCCTAGCCTTGTGCTGTGTGGCAGCTTGCTCGTTGTTTTGTGCCTCTTTGACAAGAGCTATCACACGTTTCCTTAGCTTCTGGTTAGCCTTTTAGCACATAAGCATCGCCAGTGTTTGACGCACTGTTCAGCATGTATATCCAATCCGTCCGACAACCATTCCACTGTCGATAGTTGTCCCGGACGCCGTGGTACCTCCTCGGACAACTCGGTCT